CTTTGACGGAATTTAAACTATTTGTTGATTCCCTGTTGTGTTATCATTTAATTCCAGCGCTTCTACTCAATAACGTGTCTTCCTGCTGCCTTCGTCATCGTCCAAATCAGACACGGTATGCGTTTGCTATAGAGACTAGTAGAAACGTTATAATTACTTGTTTTGAATTAGGGTTAACCTTTATTTACTATTGCAAAATAGAAAATTGCCTAAAATTATTTTATAGTAGTTATGTAACCATCAGCACTTCACAATGGAATGAACTTTGCTAAAGGGTATCGCATCTTGTAAAGGAACAGTGTCGTACTTTACGTAAAAACACGCTTTTCCATAGGCAGGTGACTGTTTTCGAAAGAATTTATCAAAGGATACATTGTGCGTTTAGAATTTTTCTCTAAAAAGTGGCAGAATGTAAATTTAGAAAAATTGTTTTTCAAAACTTACAGTTCGAGGCATGAGCACTTAGAAATTAGTTTAAAAATTAAGGATAAGCACTTTTAAAGGAATCTTTCTGAGAGTACCGTAAGCGTTGTAACATATCTGAAGCCTTTTCGGATACAAATTAATAAGGCTTCAAGGATAATTTCTCAAATCTTTGAGTTTGCGAATCCAAAAATATACATGCACGTGGTATGGTGACTGTATTGTCGTTTTTGTGTTTTTTCAAAATGGAAGCGACCACCAGGGTCTATCAGTTTAATTGTTTATTGCGAGCCAGTCACGACATCGCATGACTAACTTACTTTATCCGGATTGCGCGACGCATTTAATGGCATTGTGCCTGTCCTAAGGATATAGGCGTCGTCATTTCCCTATCTTCCAATTCTTCAAATAGCGCCGTAGGCTCTGCTTCAATTGGTTGACGGCTACCTACTTCCGGGCTGAGGAGTATGAAAGTACACACTAGAGAAAGGCGTTAGCTATATTCGTGCCAAACAATACCCATATTGTGATTCCTCCACTATAATTTTGGTAGCAGGGATCTGGCAAGCATTTTCTTGATGCAGAAAGTGAGTAAACTGAACAATGATCAAGTAAATTCACCTAAAATCTTGGCTAAAGCATTAAAAAATGCAGACATCGTAAATAAGGAACTAAGAATACAAATGAAATTTATAAATTTTAAAAATATATAATATAATTAGTTCTGTCAGTGTATTCTTGCCCCCCTCTTCGGTAGCCAAGCGATACAATTTTCTGGTGTCAACCTTCAGCCTTTGAGTTCGAACACGAAGATTACGGACTATGAAAGTAACAACCATACATGCATGTCTGAAAAAATCAATCTGCGTGAGACTGGGGATAAAGACTGTTTACGAAAGCAAAGGAACCATCCGAGCGTGGATATTGACCAGTAGAAATAACACAAGTTAACAGATCCAGCAACCCACCGTTTGGTCTATGAAGAAAAGAATCAAGTGGTTTTGTGTTATGCCCCAGTCCCCAACATAAGAGTTGTGAAGAACATGCAGGTCAAATGCATGTAGCAAAATAAACCACGGGTTAAGCTCTAACCGGAGCTGATAGTTAAATTAGCAATGTAACAAACTAGTTGGACTGAAGAAGTCAAATTCGGCAAGCACATACTTTCGGAGCCGAGAGTGAGCTTCAGGGCAAATTGGAACGGGTTAGTTCCATCAGCGATCGGTGAACGTTCATTAACGAGCGTCAATATCTCCCAATCTCAACCGACATAACAAGGACCGCGTGGCTCAATTGTAAGAGTGTTATACTTCTGATCCAACGGCTGCGAGCTCCAGTCTCAGGCGGTGCACTACCTGGGGCTGGTTATGCCTGGTTGATGACGGCTAATAAGCCAGAAGTGATCATTCTAGTCTCCGTTGTCTGCTTATATGACAAGCCGATTTGCGGCAAAAGGCGGGGCTCGGGAGTCGGCCAAAAGGCATAAAGGGACTAATGAGTCCCGTAACCGACCGATGAGTGTATATTTACCTTGTAGAGGCGGACATTTCAATGCCCTGATGTAGCCAGGCGGAAGGGCGCTCCTCCATTTGCACGGAAACGCACCTAGTAGTTCAGGTCACGGGAAAACTGAAAATATAGGTCAGAAGAAGAAGAAGATGCGACCGCTGGAACAAGAATTTTATTTTCCTGGAGTTTCGGCTTCCGTCGAGAATCCTTCATCATAGGTAATGGTAGGATAATCTGAATCATGCGCATATAGGGGTTAAACATGCACAAATTTGCACGGTATTTATATTTCCTAGCGCTTGTCCGCGTGCGTACTATAATCAACAGCTCCTATAGCCACCTTTTGGGTCTTAATTGGTGCAGTGATGGCTTGACACTTCGCTTTCGACTCATAAATTGCCGCAGTTTCCTCATCCGTGTCAGATGCGGTTTGGCAATTGCGCGACAATTAAGCCCGCTGTTGTCTGAGTTGTTGCTACGCCCGGCCCTTCCCACGTGACTGATTCTCTTGCTCAGGCAATGTGTCAGTACGGCATATAGGAACGCCAAATCGTTACGCTTGTTGATAGACTGGGGGCCTGAAAATCACAACTCGAGCAGCTCGCGGTTCACGCTGTTGTCATCTCGTAGGAGGATTTCGGCCTCGTCAAACTTGAAAATATGGCCGAATCTCGTCGAGTGAGCGGCAACCTGGGAGTTGGCTTCTTTCTTCCGCACCGCCACTGCATGCACGGCCACTCGCGTCCGGAGTAATCTCCCGTTTTCTCCGACATAGTTGCTTTGTCCACAACTGCATCAGATCCGGCAAACGATTCCAGCCGTTTCCTGCCGTGGCAATGGGCGTTTCGGTCTTATGACCCGGCGCCAGATGGCTGCTTGTGAGCTCTGCGCAATTCCAAATCCCGGTGGGGTGAGTTGGCGGCTGGCCGCTTCCGATACATTCTTCAGGTACGGACGAGCTCACCAAACTTGTGGGCCGGTTGGATGTGGCTTCTTATCTCGCTTGCGTATACATTGGTTGTCAAAATTGCGCGGGGAACCATTCACTCTCAGTACCCGTCGAAGACGTTGCAAGTCAGCAACTTTGTCTTCCACTTCGCTGTAATGTGTATCAATGCGCCTCAACGCGCTGGTATAGTGCTCTTATGCAGCTGCGTTTGTGACTGATTGGGGTGTTGCTGTCGTAGTTCAGGACTTTTATAATGTTGGTTGCTTTCCTAAACACATTAGTTTTTAGGTCACCAACGTCTTTGCGGCAATGAGGCTATCCAGGAAGGCCAGCTGATTGTTTTCTTCTTCCCCCATCATTTTGAATGTCCGGGAAGACGGCGTTTAGACGTTCCTTGAATGTCAGCACCTGAAGGTGTAGTCCACATAGCGAGCCCAGAATTTTGGTCTGTGATGTCAAGCCATCACTGCACCAATTAATACCCAAGCGGTGGCTACAGGAGCGGAAAATTAAAGTACGCACGCGGGTGACCGCTACGAACTGTAAATACCGCGCAATCTGTGCATGTTCCACACCTATCTACTCATGAGTCAGAATATCCTTCCATTACCTATGATAAGGGATTCCCAACGGAATCTGAAACGTCAGGAGAATAAAACTCCATTTCAGTGGTCTCATTTTCTTCTTCTGAACTGCTTCCCTGAACTTGCATATTCACTTCTATTGTAAATATTGGTAGAAGATGAGCGCCCTCCTTACATGCCGGCTGTTGCCAACTGTGGATACGCACCTTACGACTGTTCGAACGTCGTTTCCGTCTATGCCCACCGTGTGTCCCCTTGCGTGGTGGTGCAGAATCGCTGACTTACGCGGTGATAAGTTTTGATTTATAGGAGTCTTGCGGTACATCAACCACACTCCCTTTCCTCTCACGCGCGAGAGCCCGGTGTCAAGACTGAATTGAAGAAACTGGAAGCTGGATCGTGCTCAGGTGTGGAGGGGTGAGGAGGTGGCAGCAATATCCGCCAACACGCCTGACTCAGATCCCATGGAGTAGGAGCGCCATAAAGGCTTGAGCCTGCGCGTATGCACGTTTCTTCCTCCACTTTCAACATTTGCCATGGGAGCGCAACCCAAATAATGCCTGCCACGCTCTGGTCTCCCCCCTCCTCTGTGTTGGCACGGCCACGCGGGACGTTTACGGAGCACTTACTCACATTTCTGCAGGGTCTCCTAACGAAAACACTGCTTCGCCTATTTTTACTTCCAGATACCTATATGGGGATGATCAAAACGTATCAAAATTTGACTTGTGATGCGTAAACCACATCCGCTCTTCTCGCACGCGCTCGGGCGCAGGGCAAGAAGACGGGAAACGCCGTCAGACTCATGGGAGCAGCAAGAGCCGTCAACACGCCTGACTAAGATGCCACAGAAAGGGAATGTCATAATGACCTTAGTCTGCAGGTACACGTGCCATCAACCCACCATCTCCTCCACTATGTATGACATCTGATATGGGAACACAAACCAAATAACGCCTACCGCGCTGTGATTTGCCGCTCCTCCTGTCCGGTGTATCTACCAGGCGGTCCATTTAGGGAGACAAAGCCATATCACTGCAGAGCTTGCCGACGAATAAACGAAAACACGCGTCCGTCGAATTTCACTTTCCCGATGTTAAAATAAGTATTATCGGACTGAAATTCAAAGTTAAGTATCAAAAGATGGATCAATATGCATATTCTTCCTGAAAAACCGGTAAGCAAATGCACCCGTGACACAATGAGTATAGCGTTGAACTTCTAACTGACGGGTCGCGGGTTAATGCCTCAGGTGCGGCAACTACTGGAGTTGGCTATGACTGGCTGATGATAAGCTAGAAATGGCTATTCCAGTCTTCCTTGTCTTAGTTGGCAGTGTTATTCAGCTTATAGCATAAGCCACCGTGTGGCTGCTGGCGGGACTCGTGAATAAGCCCCAAGGCACAGAGGGAGGAGTATGTCGCGTAAACCCCCGACGAGCGCCTATCTACCACTCTGGAGGTGGACCAATCCATGTCCGGATTTAGCCATACGAGAAAGCGCTCTTCCATTTGCACGGAAAAACGCGTAGGCTTTCACACCACTGAAACAAATGAGGGGGTCAATGAACACTCTCCTTATCTGCTAACTTTTGCTAACTTTCGTTACACACGATACGAATGTTCGAGCATCGATTCCCAGGATGTCTACCGTGTGTTCCACAGCGTGGTGGTGCAGAGACAGTTGTGATCTACGCGTGAATTAGATTTAAGTAAGAGTAGACTTACGATAAACCAACTACAGCCCCTCTGCTAGTTCCCGCGCGCGAGCCCAAAGTCAAGACCAAGCCAAGAAGACCGGAGGTTGGACCAGACTCTGGCGGCAGATGTAGCTAGAGCTGCCAACATGCCTGAGTTAGATCCCACAAAGAAGGAGTGTCAGCCTCGTAAGCCTGCCACCACGCTACCCATGCTTGGCGTCTGTTACGGGAGCGCAATCAGAATAACGCCTGTCATGCTCTGATCTGTCCTCGTCCCCGTGTTGGTCCATCGTATTTACCCCGCGGCCCCTTTAGGAGGACTTATTCACAGTACTGCAAGACCCGCTGACACACACCGGCAACAGTATCTTATGTAGGCCCACTCATTAATCCCCACTCCCTGATGTTTTCCTACATAAACGGTAGTTATAGGGTTTTGTGGGTGGAGAATTAGGACGCGCAGTGGAATATACTCTAATAAATGCTACATGAATTTTTATTTTATTGTATTTAGAAGTATTGTTGATTTATATCTGTTAGCTTATCGAGGAAAAACCCGATTATCAAATTGCAGGTTTCTTGAATTTCCCGAAAAATTGAGATGGTGGAAAAACCCGATTATCAAATTGCAGGTTTCTTGAATTTCCCGAAAAATTGAAGTGGTGGTTAAGAGGTCGTCTACTTCAACTTACCAGAAGTCCAACTTACCGTTCTGGAGTTAGATTAGTATAGTACGCGGCGCGAAGAGCCACGCAAACCTTCAATTTACGTGCGGAAAAACTTACTCCCAGCGGCTGCGGGAAGCAACTTCGACTACATATTTTTACTTTACACCTACTTCTAAAAATTTCCTTCTCCGTATATCCTATTTCCCCTATCCCCCAAAACTCAATAACCACCGTTTTTGCAGGTCAACGTGCTGCGACTAGGGGTATATGAGTGGGCCTACATAAGCTAATTTTACTAACACACCTTCCGCCACGTTTGCATGAGTATCAGGGGACTGAAATCTAAATGACAGGAGCAAAAGACCCACCACAGCCGCCAACATCGCTGAGCAGGATGTGTCGACGTCGTTTCACATTGGAGACACTGCCGTAGAGGTAATCGCTGGCGAGTGAGCCGATACTGAAGAAGAAGGCCAAAACAAAGACGGCGACAGCAAACTGACTGGCTGAGGCATCATTGTTGAAGACGTGGGAAGTCCCAACCGAGGACCCCGAGGAAGCACAACCCAGGCCAATAATCACCGTCAGCTGTAGATGGAAAACAAAAGAGTAAACTCTGTGTTAAATGAAGTGTACAGTCTGGCTGTTTGCAGAGAAAAAAGGGATACAGCGTGAGCTCAGCATAAAAGAAGGTGCATATGACAATCATAAGGGACAGAAGGAGGCCTGCAAACAGTATCCACCAACTGAAACCACTGGCCATGTAAAAACGACTATCATTTGCGCGTAGCGCGCAGAAACGGCGGTTGTTGACGTTCTTGAAGTTATTTATTTTGATTTCTCCGGAACATCTATCGGGAACTGGATTTTGTTCTACAAACGGCAATTATTAAACATAGTACAATCCAATTTATGCAGGTTAGGGCAGGTAATATTGCTCAGTATGCACTTGTTTAAAGTCCAAACACGTGTTCCGTCTACTTTGTATCGCTGCATGACGCATCTTCTGTGGGCTTGGCTGTTCAGTGAGTCTCTTAGCGTCCGCCGCGCGGTTTCTGACATACACTCCAGTTTCAAGATTAACATTAGTAGTCTGTTGAAAATTTAGTTATGCTGGGTTCCTTAAGTTTGTCTATCAAAAATGCGACCGTATAAAATCGCCTACCACACAAAATGCGGCAGAAACCGACATCTCATTATGAAAGTTTTGCCGCCAAGGAAAAAGGACTTTTTTTTCCTGGCAGTGCTATCTGCCTTAGAATAATAGCCGCTGTACGATTGCTGTCAGGGCCAGAGAATGAGAAAAAAGGCCTTGCAAGGCGAGTAAGTTACATTAGCAATTGGTAACCGTTCATCAAAGGGTATCTCATTATGAGTTCGTTAGTCTATTTTATCGTCTTTTTAAATCAAATGATTTTCGCATAGCCTATACGTTGAGACGTCACTGGAATTGAAACACCAAGGTTATTCTTTAGAAAGAATAACAACACAAGCCTTCTTTTGCGTGTTCTGCGTCAGCGTGCACTCCTGCCACGCAAGGGTTCGACTCAAGAAACAAGCACGGGCTATTTGTCGATAAAGCTCCAAATAGACCTGGCCGTGCATCCAATGGAAAGCAACCGTCGCCTTGATTAGAATGTCACTGAGGTTATCGGCAAAACCCTCTTCCCAAATAACAAATAATAAGGCCAGCTCCCCGAGGAAATTCGTCTCAAAAGGAACCGCACTAACCGTCATGTT